TGGGGAGATTGTGGGATGGCTAGCGACGAGATATGGGGAGATATGTGGGATGGCTAACGACGAGATATGGGGAGATATGTGGGATGGCTAGCGACGAGATATGGGGAGATATGTGGGATGGCTAACGACGAGATATGGGGAGATATGTGGGATATGGCTAGCGACGAGCTGCTCACTCGCCGCCCCACCCGCCCGCAGGCAGAGGTTGTGCGTCCTGGCTTCCGCGGCTGGCCGAGAGTTTCTCCCGTCACGGGCGAGACCGAGCTGTACTACCCGCAGCACCGGCGGCTGGCCAAGTACCTCGTCACCGGCCTCGTGATCGCGGCGCAAGTGGCATTACCTCCCCACATCTCCCCATATCTCCCCATATCTCCCCATATCTCCCCATATCTCCCCACATCTCCCCACATCTCCCCATATCTCCCCATATCTCACGGCCTCGTGATCGCGGCCGCAGGTCGTGATGATGGTATGCATGATCGCGATGCTGTACGCCGCCTTCTTCTGCATCCAGTCGACCAACTTCTCCGTCGCCGAGAGCCTGTTGCTCAACCTCGGCTGCAGCACGGTGTGGGGCATCTCGCTCGAGCTCCTCAACTGGGTCGTCTGGTCGCGCGTCGCCGCCTCGCTCAACCGGTTCGAGAACCACCGCGCGGCCATATCTCCCCATATCTCCCCCATATCTCCCCCATATCTCCCCGTAGGTTCGAGAACCACCGCGCGGCCATATCTCCCCATATCTCCCCCATATCTCCCCCATATCTCCCCGTAGGTTCGAGAACCACCGCACGGCCATCTCCCCATATCTCCCCCATATCTCCCCATATCTCCCCATAGGTTCGAGAACCACCGCACGGCCATCTCCCCATATCTCCCCCATATCTCCCCCATATCTCCCCGTAGGTTCGAGAACCACCGCACGGCCATCTCCCCATATCTCCCCCATATCTCCCCATATCTCCCCATAGGTTCGAGAACCACCGCACGGCCATCTCCCCATATCTCCCCCATATCTCCCCATATCTCCCCATAGGTTCGAGAACCACCGCACGGCCATCTCCCCATATCTCCCCCATATCTCCCCCATATCTCCCCGTAGGTTCGAGAACCACCGCACGGCCATCTCCCCATATCTCCCCCATATCTCCCCATATCTCCCCATAGGTTCGAGAACCACCGCACGGCCATCTCCCCATATCTCCCCCATATCTCCCCGTAGGTTCGAGAACCACCGCACGGCCATTTCCCCATACCTCCCCATACCTCCCCATATCTCCCTCGAATATCTCCCCCTAGGTTCGAGAACCACCGCACGGCCGCCGCGCACGAGACGCACCTCATCGCAAAGATCTTCGTCTTCTTCTTCATCGACTGCTTCCTCTGGTTCTTCCTGCTCGCCTTCTTCCAGATCCCGTTCGGCTCGCAGATCGACGGGCTCCTCCACAAGGCCGGTGTCGTTCTGGACAGGCCCTTCGAGCGGTCGGACTGGGTCCCCCGCCTCGGCATGACCATCGGTGAGACACTCCCTAGACACTTCCTAGACACTTCCTAGACACCTCCTAGACACCTCCTAGACACTTCCCAGAAGGGCTATCGGCGTGCCGTCCTCCCCCTCCTCCCAGCAGTAGTCAAGTGTGAAACAGCGCCGCTTCACACCTCGAGCTGTGAACAGGCGCCGTCCTCTCCCTCACGCAGTGGTCGATGCCCCTCCTCGCCCCGACTCGGTGCCTCGTCCCCCGACACGAGCCAGCCGAGTCCGTACTCACTCAAACAGGTCGATGCTCCTCCTTCTTGGAAGTGTCTAGGAAGTGTCTCGGAAGTGTCTAGGAAGTGTCTAGGTCGATGCTCCTCTTTGCCGACGCGTACGTCCCCTACTGGTGGTCCGCCCGCGCCAAGCGGCGCGAGGTGCGACCTCCCCGCAATCTCCCCACGATCTCCCCGCCTGAGGAGTCGCGCGCGATCTGCCCCAATCTCGCCACGACCTCCCGCGACCTCCCGCGATCTCCGACGATCTCCCGCGATCTTTCTCGATCTCCCACGATTTCCGCGATCTCCTGCGATCTCCCTTCAGGCCGAGCGCGCGAGCAGCAAGCCCCCGCCTCCGGGCGCCGACCACGCCGCGCAGGAGCGCGATCACCTGCTCGCCGCACCTGTTCACAGCACCTGTTCACAGCACCTGTTCACAGCTCGAGGTGTGGACGGGACGCTGCCCCCCCCACACACACACTCGCCACCGCGCCGCTTGTCGCACCGCAGGAGCTCGGGCGGGCGGGCGGGGGAGGCGCGCGGCGGCGGCGGCGGCGGCGGCGGGCGGGCGAGGGGTGCGGCACGATGGCGGAGGTGCTGTCGCAGGTGACATCTCCCCACATCTCCCCATATCTCCCCATATCTCATGCGGAGGTGCTGTCGCAGGTGGCCCTGCCCGCGTACGACCCGCTGCTGGACTACTCTGGCATGGTGACGCAGTTCGGGTACGTCGCCTTCTTCGGCGTCTCCTTCCCGCTGGCGGCGCTCGTCTGCATGCTGCACACGATGCTGCGCCTGCGCTCGAACGCGCTGCGCCTTACGCAGCTCTCGCGCAGGTGACCTCCCCCATATCTCCCCCATATCTCCCCATATCTCCATATCTCCCCATATCTCACGCAGCCCCCTCCGGGCTACTGCAGGCCGCGGCCGCAGGCGGTGGACGGTGTCGGGCTGTGGGCGACGCTGCTCTTCTTCGAGGCGCTCGTCTGCGCGCTCGTCAACCCTCTGATCGTCGCCGTCTCGAGCGACCAGCTCGACGCGCTCGCTTGCTGGACGCACGAGCTGATGCGCGGGGACGGCGACTGCGGCGGCGGCACCGTCCCGATGTCGGCTCGCTTCCTGATCGCGATCGCGGCGGAGCACGTCCTGCTCATCTGCGCCGTGCTGCTGTACAAGCTGCTGCCGCGCGAGACGGCCGCGGTGCGCGCACAGCTGCAGCGGCAGGCGATGAGACCACACAGCCTGTCTAGCTGCTGAATGCGGCACAAGAGTTGCGTCGGGAGTCTGAGATCGGAATCCCTTCTTCACACCAGGCCTTCCTCTTCAAGAAGCGCTACTGGGAGACGGTCGAGGCAGAGCGCCTCCTCTCGGGCGGGCCATCGACCGCCGGCGCTGGCCGGCCGCGCGCGGTGTCGGGCTTCCGGCTGCACGCCGGCGGGCCGCCGGCGGTCGAGTACGACGCGCCGTGGGCGTCCGGCTCGGAGCTCTCGGACGACCTCGACGAGGAGGAGCCAGAGGCGCCGCCGCCGCCGCCCAGGCCCGGAGGCGCGTGCGAGTTGGCCGCGGTGTCGCGGCGCGCGTGACGTGGCGCGTGTGACTGTCTTTTGTTGGTAGATCTAGACGGATCTTCGGTGCCCGGGTAACGTCAGCGAGGTAGGGAGTTTTTCGCCGTACATAAAGTGGTGCCCCACTGCCACACCACAGCGCCTTGGCGACCTTCCCGCCTAAAGCTAAACTGGCCCACTCGCTACACTCTAGCACGCGGCGGATGAGGGATGCACACGGTAATGGTTTCTTTCACGGTGTGGTGTACCTGTGAGCTGTGTTAGTGCCAGTGCGCGCCAGTCCCGTGCCCAGTGTCGTGCGAGAACGTTGCATAAGAGTTTCGGAACGAGGCGCGTGTGCGTAATGCATGTGGCACGTGTAGATTTTTGAAATTCCGCCTCAATATTGATGCCCCAGAACTGACTGTGAAATATAAAATGAACTCGGGGGCACGGGACGCGGCACAAACGGGGCACAAACGCCAGGCTAGAAAGACGGGGAGGCACGTAGTACTCGTCGCCCTGAACGGTTGCCCAGGTTGTGGAGGGAGCAGGCGGACATCGCTTCCAGGGGGGGGGGGCGCGCTTCTGCTCACACCACATGCTAGGGGGGGGGGGCCGACCCCCCCCAGAGGCCGCTTTTACACATGCTAGGGGGGGGGTTCCCACCCCCCCCGCATCTTTCTACATGACAAAGGGGGGGCGGATCCCCCCGGGCCTTAATTTTTCAACTTCTTTTAAAACATTTTCGAGGGTAAAACCCTCCCGTGGGGCCACATGAGCCTTGAAACTTGTCCGGTTCTCCAAGAAATTGGACTTTCCACCCCCATTTTACAGCCTTGGGGGCAAAATCCGCTCTCTGGGGGCTATTCCTAGCCCACGAACTGCTGGGGGGGGGCCCCCCCCCTGCTAAGGGGGGGGGGCCCACCCCCCC